TTATTACAGTATAATTTATGTGAGTGGGGGCTGGGAAATGTTTTGAAATTGAGAGTATTGAGAGTAGATGCAGCTTGTGAAAAATGTTAAGAATCCATGTCTTAGAACATTTAACAAGACAACCCTCCCCCCCCCTCCCCTCCCCCCCCACCAACCATTTTTAGTTCTCTCCCACTTTACATGGCATCCCTAATTCTAAGACTTCAGTCTCCACATTTAAACAAAATTCTCATGACGATCAATGTCACTAAACCCTGATTCTCCTCCTCCAGGCAGCCTGTAACTTGATCAGAGGCCCTTATGGAACTCACATTCATATACTGATTCTCTCAGGGACCGCAGTTTTAAAATAAAAGAATTATAATTGTTTTTTAAAAGATTAATGTTAATCTGTAATTTAATGTTATTAAGTGCAATTGTTTTCAATTATTCTTTTAATGTGAAGTCACATTGTTTAATCCCCCCCTCCCCCCCCCCCTTCCCTCCACACATTATCACAAAAATGTGACCCACCCTAAACAAGATGCGTCATTTATGGATGGACCTTTAAATGACTACCACCTATGTTTAATATAGCTGTCAATTTCTTCAGCTTCCTAGCCCAGAAGTTCAAAAAAAAATTCCTAGAGCTTTACCACTTATAAGGGGATATACATATGTTACTATTATACAAATTTCATTTTATTCCATGCCTCTAAATTTTGTTTTCAATGTTTCGCCCCAAGAGAACTCAATAATAAAATTCTCTTCATCTGCAGGAGCAAATTCAGATGGAGTACTGATTTTAAATGGATCTTGAATCCATACAAATGTAACAATTTATTATTTGAAATTGATAAATTTAATTATTCTAGAGCTCCATCTATTAATCATTTGTAGAGAATTCTGCAAACTGTGCTAACTTTAAAACTCTGCATTAGATGCTCTAAATGTCGATCCTATCACATTAAATTGAAAGTTGAAATAAAATTATGGTAATTATTTACACCACCCCTGTAAGGAAGCTGTGGCTCCCTTGGGATCCATAACACACACTTTGGGAACCATTACCTAAACCTTAAGTTTCCTGCCATTATCTATTTCAAAATAATTATAACTTATTAAAACATTTACATGAAGTATTAACTCATCTACCTAAGGCCATCATCACCAACTTGAGTAAAACATAAGAAATCGATGATGGGGGAGAGTTTTTAAAAATTGTTCAAGTTTTGTAATGTTGTGATACTTTAGAATGTACCAAAGGATTTTACAACACTTGTGCTTCTGGTTATTCCAAATATTACCTGTTGTGATATCACTGTTGGTGTCATGTTAAGTTGCGTCCCTTTGTGTCAATGCGTGAGTCCCGTGATTTTGTGAGTTGAGAAGTCACATGAACTGTCTTGTAATAAATTCATTAAAGATATAGACATGCAGCTGAACAGGTGTGTTTTTGTTCATTGTGTGTTAGCCATAATACTACTAATATAACATTACCGAAAAGCTATATTTAGATATCTCAAACCAGGTCAGGATAGTTTTTTACCAACAAATAATATTTTTGATAAGCCATATGGATTTGAATAAAAATATTATAAAAGTGATGTAAATTTTCGTGAAAATGATGCGTGGCAAAAGCTTGAAAACTATTCATGTTTACTGCTATCCCTTGTTTTACACAGAAAAGTGACAATAATAATAGCCGCCACAAAGTCTACACATGTCATGATTAACCACAATTTTTAGTGTTATTTAATCATTAACTTAGGCAAATCTTGTTGAACGCTATTTTCTTGGCATCTGATTTTTATTTAAATTGACGAACATTTATTTTTTCTTTCAAAGGTTTTGAACATGTCAGTTGGAGACAGTGCTGTTCTTGCCTTGTGTGATGAAGTTTGGAAATGGAGGCTGGTGGAAAGTCCAGAACTTGCCACCTTTTGTGGCAATCATCAGTTTGATGATGTCTGGGATGACATAAGCGAAGAATCTTACATAAAAAGATTGGTGAGACATAATGTGTCTTTAATAAATATGTACCCCTATATGAAGGCATACAATTTATAAACTGTACTCATTTATTAAAAGTATACATTTTTCATCACTAAAACCAGAATTGGAAACATTTACATTACAGACCTTCAAATCATGGGATAAATGTCATACTTTTTTGCTCTACCTCAATAAGCCTTTAGCTATTTTATATTCCAAACATAATATGTGAACACCCACAGTAATACTTTGCTACTTTGCTATAATCTGGGATATTTATATCTAGTTAAATACCCAAATTTTTAAATGTTTGGTAGTAGAATCATAAAGATTTATTAGTGAGTTGGAAAAAAAAAGGGTGGGTGTGGGGGATAAATGCATTGTACTTACCGATTATCCTCAAGCAAATCCTCAATTATTTTCATAATCATCTTTTCTTTCATATGTATTATCATTCAGAACTATATCCAAGAGTTCTTGAAACGAGCTGAAGAAATCGATGCCGGCTCTTGTAGTCCTGAAGTAGCATTGAGCCATACCCTTTTGGTTGATGACCTCAAGCTGTATCTTGAAGGGTCAAAATTTAAAAGGTAGGCATATAAACAAAAATCAGCCTTTATATCTTCAGTGAGTGAAAATATTTTGTTAAGTCAAAGCTAACGTACTGTTATTACTAAAATGCTACTCTTTTTTTTTCAAATTTAAAATGTCTCTCGTTTTAACAGTTACCTCATGCCTATCAATTACTTGGAAGGCATCCACAGTGGGTGTAATTTGACCATATCACAGATGAAATTTGAAAATGAGCAGGATTTTAATAAGTACATCAGCAGGCTTGAAAAACTTCCAGACAGGGTATTTTCATTTTTTAATCAGTATCAATAATCCAGTAATGGAAAAAAACAACATTTCTTACTTAAATACAAGCTAAAATAGATATAATGATGTAACCATGTATTCTTTAAATTTAAGTTTAACATCATTAATTCAACAATATTTTAGTAACAATTTAAGAACACATATAATATAATTTTATGATAATGTTAATTACTGATGAATGCTTTCTATGTTACCCCAGATAGACCAAGTGGTTACAGCTCTCAAGAGGGGTGTGGACGAGGGAGTGGTTCAACATGGCTGCTCTGTGGTAAGCTTTTAATATTTTATTAAAACACCATGGTTTAAAATGAACTATTGCCAAGTTAGGTTAAAAAATGAATAATTTCCATGCTATGTAATATGAAAAAATTCCATGTTAATGATTAATATGAATTAACTGTCTCTATATTATGCATTAACTCAAACTATTTCCATTTTTACATATAAATATGAACTCTTTCCATAGTTAACCCATATATTGGCTGACTTCACAAACTATACAACAGAAATGGACAATTTTTGTAGCTGAAAGTTTGTGCATATTTTTTGAAGGAAAAAATAAACAATAAAATGCATCAAATCAGACATGACATGTGATTAATGAATGATCAATGTTGACATTTTCGTCATTTATTCTTCTCATACTTTAATTTGGCCACATTCACAAGCTCATGATATTGTTTGCAATGATAAATTTAAACCTTGTGTTACCCTTTTTTCCATCAACCTCTAGAAAAAAATCCCAAGCCAAATAGAGAGCATGATAAACAAACCTCTTGATGAGCTTGAGCTGTTGGCTCCATTTAAAGGCGAACATGCCAAAATTCCCAAGGACAAATTGTAAGTTCATAAGTTTTCATTAAACTTTCATAAATGTGCCATTACATCCTGCGTTTAAACAGAGATGAACAGAATTCATGATAACATGCAAACATTGATTTTGTAGTTACACAACTATCCTGGCTATTCTTATGACACATTACCTTCTGATATGTTAGGACAGGCTGATAGTATGTACATTTCACTCTGATATTACATGACATTCTAGCTTTACTCTTACAGGGATGATTTTCAGTCCAGGGCGAAAGATTTGATACAAAAGAAAGTGTTTCCTGCTCTTTTGGCATTGAAAGATTATTTAGAGAAGGTCAGCGTTCTTTTGATGATTCACAGTTTGTTTGTATTTAGTTACCTTTTAACATGAGAGCTGTATTATCATTGTAAATTTAATGTTTTGATTTTGAATAGAAGTTGGTTCAGAATGTGGCACAACTACATTGGTTGCGTTCAGCTGGATGAACCTATCATGAAAGGCACCAATGTCATTCAAAATTGAAAATAGGCTGTGGACCAGGAATGTAGAGATTATCAAATAAAAATGTACATTATGAGTTTATCGACCTTTACTGTAACATGGGTTTGGTACTACCTACATTCCAGTATCATGCATAAATTATATGTATATAGAACCTTGTGTGGCAACCAGAGGCCTTGAGTCTTCTCAGTGTAGCCAGGATTTTCATAGAAATGAAACCTTTCATGATTATGTGCAGCCAGGCACAGTAGAAAAATGATTCTCTGGCTTGTTTCATGGATGTCACATCAGAAAAATCCTTCACATTACCCAGCAGATGACATCGTGATGAACGTCCCACCAGAATAATTATTCATCATACGTGAATGGTGCACCCGGAAAAATATTGTCTTCTAAGGCCCATAACAGATTGGTAAAGCTAAATTTAAAAGAGTGAAAGAACATCCAGTGTGTTGAAGTGCTGCCAAAGATTTGAGGACACCTAACAAGGGACAATGATCTTAAGTAATATCAGATTGTTGTGTGTATGAAAGGCTTTGAAGATTATAGTTACAACGTCATGCTAGTCCAAACTAAAACATTCTACCCACATGGGTTTACATGTTGTATTAATCATGCAAGCCTCATGGAGTATTCAGTGGCACTATTCTTGTGCTGAACTCCTATGCAATGGAGTCTAATGTTTTGATGTTAAATAACACTGAATGGCTCCAAGGATTTAAGATTATTTCTTGTCATGGTGGTGGTAAATAATAAACTTACTCCTCATTAGATTATTAGGATAATAAATTATTAGATATGAAATCCAAATTTTAATTTAAAGTTTTAATTTCAGGAGTATTTCAATCATCTTCGTGCTAAAGAAGGGATCAATATTTTAAAAGATGGAGATCAGTGGTACCAGCAGTGCTTAAATTTTCACCTCAGCTGCTCCATGACACCCCAAGAAGTGCATGACTTGGGCTTAAGTGAGGTTGATCGTATCAAAAGAGAGATTCTGAAAATAGCTGAAAATGAAGGTCTTGGTAATACCTTGCCTGAGATTCTCAAGGCCATCAACACAAAGCAAGAGAACTTCTTTAGTTCAAAAGTAAATATGATACATTTAGTTGAAACTTGATAGAATTAGTAGCCATGTTTAATGAATAATGTCTAGACTCTTTTCCTTTTACCTTCTGTCGGGGAGAGAGATTTCGAGGCAACTCTCTCCTTCTTCTTGTGAGTCAGACGATTTTTAGATGATGTGGGCAAGATGGGTGAGATTGGAGGAGCTGTAACAGTGCAGTGGATTCCAGGGCACGGCAACATCAGTGGCAATGAAAAACCAGACACACTGGCAAAAACGGGGGCTGCCCAGCCTCAGCAATATGTAACCAGTCACATATCTAGGTACCAGTCACATATCTAGGTATCAAAAACTGGTTGTCAGACCATTTTTGATCAAAATGGTACAGGCACTGGGCAGACAGCACCCTTACCAGACGTGTATTCGCTAACATACAAGACCCTTGGTGGAAGCTGGGTCACAGACGGCAGAGTCTGGTGATCCAAATGTGTTCCACGCATTGCCCCATAAACACATACTTCAATCGGCTAGATTATAACAGGGACCCGACCTGCTGGCATTGCAGCCTGGTCCCAGAAACTCTGGGGCATCTTTAGAGAATGTCATCACTAGATTTTTCAGGGGAGGCCATGATGGTGGGAAAGCCCAACGCAAGGCAAATGTTATATGGCACAGCCCAGCAGATGGACCTGGTTGCCAATGTACTAGCCGGGGTTTTAAGAGCTTAAGCTCAAACTTTCATCAGAATATGTGTGTTAGTTGTAAAATATTTTAAAAAAAGGCAATTAGCATTGTTTGACCATTATTTCTATTTAGCTGAACTGTTAAAAGCATGGATCTAAAGAGTTTGGGAATTTTAGAGTTGAATTGATTATAATAATGTAATATTACCCTGTAATACATAAATATTATATTATTGTGATATAATGATCATTCCTAAAAATTGAAGTGATAGAAATTATGCCTTATGATTTTTGTCTATTATTTTGTGTATTCTGCTCCCAAAATTGATATAGGTAATTTGTAATATGTTATAGGAAGATGTTCTGAATTATGTTCAAGATCTATGCTACAACAAAATCAGGCCAAAGATTTCCCAGCTCTTTAAAGATTTGCCAGAAAACCCAGTGACGTAAGTGTATCTTAGTTTTAATAGCTGAAATAAAACTTGTGGTTGCTCTGTTGTTTAGCTATTCAGGGAACAACTTTACTTCAATTTCAAACAGAGCTAATAGTTTCCCAAGCAGAGACTGAGAGAACTACATTTTGATCAGAATCTTTAAACACATACATTTTACATTTCGATTTGTTGTTTCTTGTTTTCTCTTGCCTCCTGAAGAAGGCATCTAGCAGAAACGTCCTTGTCATTGTCCGGTCTTTATTTTTTTTTAAAGCCTAAACATATCTTGTTTCACAATTTCTTTGGCTGAATTAAATCACAAGATGTAAATCATTAGTTTTTTTCAATTAAGGAATTTGCTCATTTTGTATTCATTTTCAAGAATAGTTCGATAAGAAAAAATAATTTGATCTTACCATCCTTTAACAAAAAATATATCTAGCAATAAGAAGTTAGATTTAAATCAATAACTCTGTAAAAGGTTTAAATCCAAACTGTATAAATTGATCCAATTCAGTATTCAAGCTTCCCCTGACTACATGAAGGATGGGCCAGCTGGTTTCTATTTGAATGGAACACCAGATGGCTCAAGACAAGGAATTTATTACATCAACAATCATAATCTGACAGAATGGCAAGTTTTTTTTTGTTGGTCACACATAGAAAAATTTAGGCTTATCATTTTTAATGTGGTTAAAGTGTGTGGTTTATCATTTAATGTGGTTAAAGTGTGTAGTTTATCATTTAATTTTGGTTCAAGTTTATGAACTTTATAAAAAATTTTTATTGCTAATCATTATGAAAATCTTGTAAAATTTTAAGAGAAAGATGTTACATTTTTACTACTTTCATGTTTCATGTGAATAAGAGCAGAAAAAAGCAATAGTTTTCAAAGATTTAATTTGAAAACCTTGATTCATCCCATTAGGTAACCATCAGCCTTGGGAGCTGCTTTTAAGACAGAGTATTATGCACCAAATAAAACATTCTAATGTTCATTTATTTTTTTCATGAACAGGATGCATATGTAATTTTAAATCTAGGATCCTTTTTAGTCAAAGTTTCCTAACTGAACTATTTATAGTAAAACAGCACATTTAACAAAAAATAACAGAATTAAATGACTCAGCTAAGTAATTAGATTGATTAACCTGATTTCAGATATTGTTAACTACCGGTAACGAGTTTAAAAAATTTTTTTTTTTTCTTCTTTTTATAAATACAAATTTAATCTATATTTTAAACATATTTGGTTATCTTATGTTTCAGTCTACCTTACCAGCTCCCAGCCTTAAGTCTTCATGAGGGAGAACCTGGCCACCATCTGCAGGTCCTTTAATATATTTATGTTGTTTAAAAGAAAATCATTTATAAGAACCTTGTTTAAATATACAATCTGTAAGGATTAAATTAATCATGTTTCAAGTCTAAGTTCTTATTAACAAAAATCATATTTCTACTCATAATATGCAGACCAAGAAATAAATAATAAATTAAAAAATCGCTTAATAATACACTGGAAGTTGTTTTTTTTAAATGATGTAATTTTATTATTAAAACATTTCCCCAACAAGCAGCACTAAAAGTTTTATTTAAATCTTGTGAAATGAGTTTTGTAACTTTGATGTTTATATTCTTTAGGTGGTAAAAGAAATACATGCAGACCAATTAGGATTCTTTATCACTTTATGTAATGCAGGGTGTCTATGCAATGAAGGCCACTCAGCTACCAGACTTCCGCAGATACTGTGAAGACTGCAAGTACTACCTCCCACCAGGAAAGTTTGGATTCAACACAGCTTATGTTGAGGTAGGACCATATTAATGGTTACTCCAGATACTGCAGACTACCTTCAGCTCTCATTGGGCCAGAGATTTATTCTACCCAGGTATTTACCTATAGCTGGAGACAACTCTAGGCAACTTTGAACACGCTACCTCTTATCTTGAGCTAGACACACTCCCATTTGCCACAAGCTTTCCTAAGTCCATAACAGCTAATACATTGAACTACTCTAACAATATTATTGAGATCCAATAAGTTATGACAGCACACATTTTTCAGCTTTGAGATATTTTATTGGTAAGTTGGAATCTATGAACAAAAAAAAGATAGCTTTCATATAAAAGTTATGTTTCTGAATTTAGAATCTATAGTGATCTCTCTTCTTCATTTAGCAACACAGTCTTCAAGAAGCCGAATTTAATTCTTGGTGATGGGCAACATTGTTTGTTCAATTTAAGTCTTCTCGAAAAGTTAAGGAGATTTAGAGTTAGTCTGATGTACACAATGAATATTTTTTTTATTCCCTTAGGGCTGGGGTCTGTACTCTGAAGCACTGGGAGAAGAAGTTGATGTGTATGATAATGTCATGGACAGGTAAGTCTGGTTTTTGAATTTGCAAAAATGAAATGTCAGTTCTATCTTATCTCACTTTAAACAGACATTTACAAATTGAAGCAATATTTTTCACAGAGGCCCATAATGTCTTGCAAGGTAAATTCCAATTATTCACAGTTGGTTTAAACAAGTAGATACCAGAAATTGTAAGAAAGCAATCAATATTAAATTAATTGTTTTTTTGTTTGTTTTCCTGGTTCTTCTCTTCAATAAATATTAATTTAGCTGTGAATGAGAGGTTCATTTTAAAACTAATGGCGGCTAAATTTGAATATTATTTTTCAGGCTGGGGCGCTACAATTTTGAGATCTTTAGAGCCACCCGCCTTGTTGTTGATACCGGACTTCATGCATTTGGGTAGGCAATTTTAATTATATTTATGTGAGGAGGCATTTAAATGATTAGGGTTTGGATCTTTAGCTCTTAACTGACTCTCAGTTTGTCGTACAATAGGGAAAGTTTCATTAGACCCCATTGGAAAAATGTATATCTATAAAATTTTACCAGAGGGCAGGATGACTGCCAGAGTTGATTCTTTATACAAAAGTGTTAGAAACTTAAAATAGCTTATAATATTTACACAAAATTTTTGAGATGGACCAGAGACCAAGCAATCCAATACATGGTGGCCAACACACTGACCCCTGAGTCTGAACTAGCTCAAGAAGTAGAGAGATACATCACCTGGCCTGGACAGGTAATGTAAGATAATGTAATATTCTTTTATTGATCCCAATAAATAGAAATGTGTTTTGATTTCATTCTGCATATTCATTTTGAGCATGTGGATTTAAACATTCTGATGAAGATAACAATTTTTAAACTAGAACAATTTAACTGTGAGACATTCAAGTACTTCTAAACCTCACTTTCTTCATGCAATATTGGCTTAAAGAGAGATTAATTGATTTTATAATAACAAGGGAGCATGCTGGGAAATTCTGACAGATTGGGGAACAAATCAATTTTTATATCTTTCAGTGCTCACGTTAGGAGAAAGAATTCGCCCAGAATGAGCAGATGAAGTGGGTGGGACTTACCCTCCAAAAGTTTTTTTTGATTTAGAATTGCATTTTGCTTCAAATAATTCTTCAAGCAAGGGTAGTTTTGTTTGGGAGATATTACTCGCTTGCATATATCTTCATTATGAATATTTAAACCCCATTTTACTTTGTTTTATACATATTTCTGAAATAATACTCATCCCAATATAAAATAGACCTAACAGTTTATAGAAAGTAACTTATAAAAAAAAATTCGCCTAAAGATTAAAAATTAGTTGGACTTAACTTTATTTATATGCATAGTTTCATTAACTATTTCTTGTCAATTTCTTTTAGGCTTGTGCTTACAAAGTCGGAGAGATAAAAATCTGGGAATTGAGATTTAAAGCTGAATGCATGCTGGGTAATCTACATTCATGTTTGTTTGTTCTAACATTTTACTTGTGAGAAAACATTAAACATTGTTACCATTTTCATCGATCAAGTAACCAAGTGGCAAACTATATCATCAGTTGAATGTGGATTGTTA